GATAACTCATTCCCTGTGTGAGAAACCGAAGAATTCGGTAACCAATTGAATGGTAGCAAATACCAACAGCAACCACTCGCCAGTAGGGCTATTGATGGCCCACTTTTCCAAGAATTGCTTACAAGTTGGTGATGAATTTGACTGTTCGACATATGCCAGTACCAATTTACCATCGAAACGAATGAACAAATCGTAGAGGGATTGATAGACGTGAGCAGTGGAACCCGATCTACTACACACCACTTTCCTCAGCGTTACGCATATTAGCGGCCTTTGATGATTTTCAAAATTCTGCAGTTTGTAGTCCGGAACGGTTCAGTGTTAGTACACAATGAAGAAATCCGAATGAAAATGAAAATTTGCATAAAAAAAGATGCCCACTTCAGCAGAAAATTCACTATTTAAGTGTATTTCGAGCAAATGTAAAATCAGTATTTTTGCACTGATATTACAAGCGGTTGCATGCTAGCGGCCCAGAGTTATAGAAGTAATATTTGACTCCAAAACTCTGCTTTATTTGTTTCGGCTTGAGGTTTGTACAAATGAGGTTTTCTTGTCCAGCATTTGTTCAACCTCAAGCTGAAACAAGAGATAGTTGAGAGAAATAACCGAGGATTAAAAATTCGGAGATGGGGATGCCTCGGAAATTTTTGCGTCAAGACTTTTAAGCGCTCGTACGTAAGAACCACGCATACCTCAACGCCAAATTTGAAGTACTTAAGTTATACTATTTCTAGTTGAGAGAAATAACCGAGGCTTCCCCATCTCCGAATCTTCAATCTTGTCCAGCAGATAAACTCATTGCAGATAACCTCCTGCATTGTATTGCAGGATGATACTGTGTGCATAACTGGCGGCATGCTCACACCACATTGTTATGCATTTTTGCACATATGCAAATGCAACCCAGGCTGGAACGTACCGGCGGGCCCGTGCGATCATGCGTTTTTGCACCGCACTTGAATTACTCAAGTCATTAATTGTTTGAATGGCTGTTGCTTTGCACTTACCTTTTGCGGTCACCAGCATAAATCACCATAAATTTTGCAATGTAAATGTATAATTTCCATTTAACAGTCGTTCTTTAAAAGTAACCTAGTTGTTCAGTGAGAAATTTTTGCGTCAAGACTTTTAAGTGCCCATGCGTAAGAACCACGCATACCTCAACGCCGAATTTGAAATACTTGCTTTATACTTGGACAGGGAACATTCCCTCAAAATTTCAGCCTCCCAGCTTTTCTGGTTACCGAATTAGCAGTTTTTCCGTCAAAACCCTCACAAACCCATACTTGGGTACTTCACGTGCTTAGAAAGCTGAATTTGAAATTTTTAAAATGCACTGAGGACAGGGAATACCGGCCTAAAATTTCAGCCTTTCAGCTCTTCTGATTGCTGAGTTAGTCATTTTCCTGCAGAAACTTTCATATGTTCTTACGTGAGTACCATGCATAGCTTCGGACTGAATTCGAAACATTTGAGTTGTGCTTCAATAGTGAACGCTCCTCCAAAATTTCAGCTTTCTAGCTTTCCTGGTACCCGAGTTAGCAATTTTCCCTCTTTGAATA